TTTTAGCAATTACATTTCTATTAAGCGAGAAAGGTCAAGAAACATTTCGACTATTTTGCAACAACGTCGTAAAATTAATGCAATATGGCCGAAATGGCTTCGTAATTTTTCTTGCTTAATAGATGAAGTCACACTGCATTTCCACGAGTCTCAATGTGGCTCGAGACTCCTATTTGACCCGAAGGTGGAAGTGGATTTTGCGGCCAGAGCAGCCTGAAAGAAAGTGGTGAGTGTAATTGATTTTTACGTACTATGTTACTTATGTCCAAAAATTTTTTATCTCTTCTGTCTTTACTTAATCGAATCGTTCATTTGAATATTTCAGAAAATAACGACGCTGAACGTGACATCGGAGCAGCGAGGGAATGCTGCGTAGCTGACATTCCGAGCAGCCTGAGAGGAAGAGGAGGCCTAGGATAGGCATCGGGCATCAACGTACCAACACTTCTGGTAAGTGTTATTTTTATTTTTTCTAAAAATATTATAGAATTCCTTTTTTCGTTTATCCTTATTTAGTTGCTACATTATACCGTGTTTCGAAATATAAATTAGTTAAAAGGAATAATTTGAAAAATTTGATTCAAGTTGATTCTAACGTAGATATCTTTTTTGGAGAAGTAATTTAAGAAAACATTAATCTGAATAATGAATAAGATGTTCGATGCGCGTGACAATTATTTAATCGATTCGATTATTTTTATGTTACAGAAAATATCCACGCTGGAAGGACCATCAGCTTCGCATCGAGGGAACACGATGGACATCTCGAGCAGCCTGAGAGGAGGTGGAGGCCTAGGAGAGGCATCGGGCATCGGCGTACTTAACACTTCTGGTAAGTGTTATTTTTTATTTTTTCTAAAGATGTTATAGAATCTTTTTTTCGTTTGTTTTTATTTAGTTGCTACATTAAACCATATTTTGGAATATAAATTAGTAAAAAAAAATAAATCGAAAAATTTGATTCAAGTTGATTCTAACGTAGAGACTTTTTTCGAAGATGTAATTTAGGAAAACATTAATCGTAATAACGAATAAGATGTTCGATGTGCGTGACAATTATTTAGTCGATTCGATTATTTTTATGTTACAGAAAATATCCACGCAGGAAGGAGTATCTTCGCATCGAGGAAACAGTAACTCACATCCCGAGCAGCCTGAGAGGAGGTGGAGGCCTAGGAGGAGGCATCAGGCGCCGGCGGAGCAACAAGCGGTAAATATAATTTATTTATACATATACATATATTATATCTTATACTGATGGGTCATTTACTTTTTAACCGGATAGTTATTCAGAAAATAAAAATTAGAGAAAAATAGTTTTATTTTAGAAATTCTATAGAAGCTTATGTTCAATGGATAGAGTATTCTTAAGAAATTACAAAATTATTTCATTAAATTTGCTTAATAAACGCAATAATATAAAATTTAGTGTTTATATAGTAATCATTTTTTGAAATATTGACTGTCTCTCTCTCTCTTGCACCCTGCTTTAATTCGGATTCTACATTTGTTTATTACAGAATCATCGTAGCGACGTTGCAGAATAACTCCGCTGTTGCGCATCGGTCGGTGAGTGATGATTAAATTTCATAATTAAGGTAACAAATTTATTTTACACATGGGAACGCGTAATCGGAGACGGGAAAGTGACGTCTCCAGCTTAATCTCAATTAATCGCGAACTTGAAATTTCTTAAACTCTCTTTAAAAATCTTTACTTTCTTTAATTTCGGGTATCGCGGTTGCGACTAATTAATATTGATAAAATAAACTAATAATAATAAAAAAACTAAATAAACTAATAAATTCGGGTGGGCAGAAATAACGTTTTAGGTAAATAGAAATATGGTAATAATATATGAAATATTAGGTAGCTATATGAAGATATAGAAATATGGATAGGCGGAGAATATATACATATTATACATATAGAGATATTATACTTTGGGTAGGTAGGAATACGAAGGGATTGTAACTCGTACTGTTAATTATATGGAGGGGTAAAAGCCATAGTGGTATAAGTCAAATTTTTTTAAATATTGACTCGTGTGCATAGATGCATGCTATACAATATATAAATTGCATCTATGCATACAAGACAATATTTTTAAAAATTTGACTTATACCACTATGGCTTTTTACCCCTCCATGTAACATTATTTATAAGAAAATTATTGTAATAAAGAATTATAAGGAAAATTGTAATAAATTTGAAATTGTATGATACTAATGCCGGATATATTATACGAAATCAACAGAAGACGATTAAGATAATAACGGTGTTTATTTTTTATCTATAGAATTTCACATTTTAAAAATTATCGTTAATTATTATAAATTTCACATAAATGTGAAGGTTGGAATTAACGCTCAAATAATAGCTTCTTGCTTGCAAAATTTGACATTTATCTGAAAATTAAAATTATAAAATTACGATTATATTTTTCAAAATTATGAGATACAAAATTCGTAATAATTTTGAAAAATGTAATCTTAATTTTGTAATTTTAATTATCGTAATTCGTTATTAATTGGAATACGCAAGATGGAAAATTATATGTATACGCAAAATAATTCTTAACAATATATATAAAGTGTACAATGTAGAATAAAGTAAAAAGAACAGGATAAATATTACATGAGTTTTTAAATCTTTTTATTTGGATTTTCCCGAAATAAAAGAAAAAAAGGATTAGATCTGACCAGATCAAATTATATCTCAGCAGATCTGATTATATCTGTTCAGATCTGGCCAGATCTAATGAACCAGATATGGTCATATTTCGGGAGATCTAATTCTTGTTTCCCGGGTCATTAAGTTAATTGTGTATACGAGGGTATGTTCTTGACTAAGCACTTATTAACAATGATAACACGATACAGTTTCTATAATTTTAATATAATGCTATCATAAATCAGCTAATCAGATACATAAAAATTTGACGCAGCATAAAATAAATCTATTTACAATCTATAGCTTACACACTTTTTACAATAGATGTTATTGTGATTTATTAATACTATTATGTACAGAATGTGTCTCTAAAAAAGTAATGCCTTAATGAAAATATATTTTATAATGCAAAGGCGCGATAAAAAATTCTGTTAAATTGTCAAAAGAGAAAGAAATAGAAATTGTATTGTTTGCGATAGGCACGGTCAGTTAGGAATCATTTAATACAATTATAAACATTTTTAACAATTACTTATTATCTTAAATATTTTAAATAAAAAAAACGGATGATTAAGGATGAAGATTAAAATAATAGCTTGCGATTAAAGAATGTTATAAATATTATAAAATATTGTGGACACATTCATAATCTTGAACTTTAAGTTTTTGCCTAAAATCCAAAAATTCGAAAGGTTTTCTCTTAGCTGTACTGGTTTCACACTTATCGCGATGGTTGAATACACAAGAGCTATCTCTTTATCAGTTCAAGTCTATAATAGTAAACCATCTGTCAGAAATACAAATAGTATAAGATGCAAATCAAAGTAGTAACAATAATGAATCTGTCGCTTGTTAAATTTTTACACGTTTGTGCAAATAATCATTCAATGATCCAATTTTTTAATTAAATGAATAAGACGCATATATCTGTGGTTTGGCATACATTCACACGCAGCCGCACGAATATACAACATATCTACAAGCATATTTCTCTTATATTTTATACGTACATAGTATCATTCGTGTCGTTTAATGTGACAAAGAATTCTTATTTAATGAAGAGAAAATGAAATCTTACAAAATAATTGTTATTAATAATAAAAATTAATTAAGATACAATCGCCGACAAACCTTAAGCTATCGAAGACCGAGCAGTTACTAAGGTCTTTACATTATTCTCTCTTGAATAATGTAAAATCGATTTTTATATCAATTCCGTCTTCAGTCTATTCATTATACTCGATAAGATTTAAAGTTGAAAATTTTATGTACGATATAATCATCTATAAAACAGGCCAACTACTTATTATATTGACTCTTTTAAATCTCGTGGGAATTCATCCTTGAACGTTAACATTTATTAAACAACATTTTACACAATTATTAATTAATTATCTGCTCTTCAACTTTTGTTAAACATTTTACAACAAGATATTAATATTAAAATTGCTATTAAAACAGCAAATAAAAATCTAGTTTGCGTGCTATCCAACTTTAAAATATATCCCTATAGGACAGATATGTGTGTTAGATATCAACCTTTTCAGAATATTCGATTTTCCATATAAAATTTACATATATATGATCATGTGTTAAAACTCTTTCCGTATATAGTGTATTCCAAGTATAGTAAACGCTATTGCAATGTAGCGTTCAAATCGGGATTACAATAAATAAATATAAAATGAAAATTTTGATAGTCCAAGAAAATTAATTGCTTTTGCTATTGCCTTGAAATCCGGAGATGGGACTTTTAACGTTTACTGCATATTTGATAACAAAATTGCAAAAATTCCACATAGTCTTCAAATTAGGGATTAAAAGAGTTAGCATTTCGCTGAGTCCGAATTTTGATATCGTCAATAAGCAGAAATAATTATTTGCAAAGTTGGAAACGACTGGTGTAAAATTCTTCTTTCGCGCGTTAACAGCATAAGAAATTATATCGCGGTTTCAATTCTCGCTTCAAATTCTAACAATCGCGATCGAATCGCAATTTCATGTCGCTTCGGAGCGCACTTAAGTGGTATGTAGAGTCGCTCGTTGGCGTCGGATATCGCTTCGTCGGCTTCGAGCATCGGAAATACATCTAAACAGCAACTCAAGACAATCCGTCTTCGCATTCTAACGAGCGAATCGGCTGTTTTCGCTCTCCCGTGATTATCGCTCCGCAATTATTTGCCGAAGATCGCGGCTTTCTGCCGGAATTGCTCTCGCCTCGCTGCCTTTTCTTCCTCCTCCCGTTTCCGCTCCTCCTGTTCCATGCGAATCTCGTCCTCGAACTTTGAGGCCTTTCGGAGCTGCTCGATCTGCGAAAAATACAAAAGAAGAAAAACTTAATGCGACTCGTTCGGGTTACGCTTTCGTGCGTGTATTTTTTCTTCAGCGTGCACGATACGCTGGTACCTTTCTGGGGCTAATCCATGTGTTATTTAGGATTGTGTGTGTAAATAGGAAATACGTTTGTGCGATAACAGCCTAGACAAGATTTGATAAAGAAACTATACTTTTTTTCGGTATTGGCTGTGTGAGACCAGTAGTTACTAATTTTTTATAGTAATGAAGAATATACAACAGTTTTATTCTTAATTTATATCCTTAGTTTATACTGTCAATTATTCTTATATTCTAAATATATACCCAATATATAGTTATAAAAAAAAGAATATATTCTAAATGAGTAGTACGAGTTATTAATTTTTTTTTTATAAACTCCAATCTTAGTCTGAAGCTACAATTAATATGAAAATGAAGTTCAGACATTTAAGAAATTTATTGAAGCGTAAGAAGAAGCATAGAAAGAAAAAAGATATGTTTTCATCACGAGAGGAGAGATTAAATGTAAAAATATACCTTGGCCTCGAAGAAGTTCTTAGCGCCTGTAACACCGACCTCGTCGACATCGACTTCGGTAAGTCTGGCCAGCTGGCTCAATCCGGAATCCTGTTCCAATTCACCTGCCCGTGCTTTACGATAAATTAGCAGAAACTGCAACAAAATATAATTGTAATTACATTAAACATAAATTAAAGTTACCATATGTGATAAGCTTTGACAGGCTGGACTCGATTTTCGATTAATTTTTTAGCTGCTTCTTTCAAAAATAGAATTATCGATAAAGAATCACGACCCAATTCACAATTATTATTCTTGAGATAACATCCACCCGAACGTACGAGACATATTTATACAGAATAATTTTTCGCACAAAATATACAAATGTTTTATAGGACAATTATAAAATAATTAAATAAAAGAAAATAATTTTCTTTATTTATTGCTTGGTTCCTTTACATTTTGATAAGAGAATCGTCATTCTATAAGAAAACTTTTGTGCTGGTTATTTTAAGTAACAAATAAAGTAAAAATTAAAAAATAAAAGGCAAAAAGATAATTCGTCAAATAAAAGAATTGTACGATCGAGGGAAACTCGAGAATTGCGACGTTTATGAATGTAAGGCGTGTCGAAAGGCACAGGGGTACGTGTCGCGAACGTTTTACGGTAATTCATATCGTGATGAGTAAGAGGAAGGTAAGTAAGCCGGGCAATAAACTACTCGGGTATCACGCAATGAATCACGGCGGCGATCGACGAGCGGAGCGAATCGTGCGTGCACGCATCGCACATCATGTAGGATCGATTTGCGTGGAGAGCTTTGTTCGCGAAATACGGAATGTCACATCCGATTGTCCGTGCGTGCATCACGTACTAATTGCAAGTCAAATTCTCCTTCGAATGGTACGTGATGCCCGTATACCCGCGATCTTACTCGTGGCCGTATCGCGGTTGCGTTAACAGCGAAAGTTTCTGCTGGCGTTTCGCACGCTCCGGTATTCCGCGGACGTGTTGCGAAACCGTCGCGTCGGTTCTCCACGATCGATTCCACGTGCAATCGCCATTGCCAGGACGATGATTGCAAGCTTAATCATCGTGATATCTTAATCGTTTCGCTTGAATATTTTTAGAAGACTGATTGTGAGATTGGAAGTTTAGCATTTGATGGACGGTATCGTGCTGGTACTTTTTCATGGCTGTAGCATTTTTTTTTACATATTCTATTTAAATTATAAATTGCAATTAGAAGTTATAAATTATTACTAAATATTACTAAATTGAGAAATATCTAAATTGAGATATATCTAAAATGAAAAACAAGACTATACTATTGAAATGTTTCTTGTATACAAATTATACTCCTCATTTATTGAAGTTGTAACAATAAAGGCTGCTAACTCGGAATTATATTTCTAGCGTAAAATTTGTTTTCAGAAAAATGCTTTTAGTTTTGCACATTTTTTCTTCTGTAGCAAGCAATCTTTCAGCGGTTTTTAAAATACTTCAGCGTGTAGGTGACCGAAATAGAACTTCAAAGTATCCTTTTTCACGCACAGCTCTGCTTGGAGAGTAAACACGATCGTATACCCAGAGCGAGTGAGACGTATACTAAACATTGCATGGGGCCTACTATTTTTACGAATAGTGTATCACATATGCGCTCGTCATAAATAAAATCTGTGAATCTGATCGAAAATTATATGATTCACCTAATAAAGGGGAAAAAAAAGTAAAGAATTAGGATAGAAAATGTGAAAAAGATTTAAAAAATGCTCTTTAGGTATTTAAGTAAGCATTTCATAAAAATTTGAAATCTTATATGACCGCTAATCTGCTTTAATTGTCTGAATATCTAATTACCTATGTACCTCTATTTGTTCTAATTTCTACGAAATAAAAATTAGCAAATTGTCTTAGGGATTGCGTTTTATTTTAATTGCGATGTTTCTCAAAATCGGCAAGGTACACGTGTTTCTCGACGGGCGAAACTCTCCCGCACAAGAGCGAAGCTCTGCACGCAGGAAATCTATTTTGGTTCAATATTTTTAACAACCGCAAGCGGAGTTGTGAGAAACACTAATGCTGGTCAGGATGGTTGTACAGACGTTATGTTTACGACGACCACATGCGGAACCGATGGTGCAAAATGTACTAACTATTTGTCTGTTTTAAAATCCATTTCTCCAATCTCTAATAGTTTCAATAGAAATAAATTTAAAGAATGTCCAATAAATTATGATAAAAATGTTAATAATACGCAAAAGTAGTGGATATCTGTATTTCTTTTCTCGCAAAGAATCAATTTCTGTTTTTTAATAAGCACAAACATCGATATCGTTATTATCGGCTTATTAAATCCATTAAAAACGATTCACATTATCATTGCGTTTAGTAGTTAGTAGATCATTTATATTATTTGTCAGTTTTGAAATATTACAGATCTCTCGAAGCTGATAAAAATAAACCAACCTCACGGAAAGATATACGACCGTCGCCATCCTCGTCGACCTCCTGGATCATCGCCTTGAGTCCGAGATGCGTCTGCGGTGCACCCAAAACTTCCATCATTCGTTTCAGTTCAGAGAGATCGAGAAAGCCATCGTGACCATCATCGAATCTGCAACAAGTATATATTGATGAGTAAAATTAGCAACTTAATCATTTTATCGTGTTGTTTTTCGTCTTGAAATCTTAAAATTTTCTTAAAATATCATTTTCTTTATTCCTTAAGCTTTCTGTCAATAAAATTATGATGAATAACTGACGGGACACGAGCATTCTGGAACTAAAGCGCAAAGTTTTAGAATCTTATTTCTTGTTTGTACTTCAAAATAATTTTATTTTATATTAAAATATGTTTTACATCTCTGACTTCTTAGGCATAATTGACAAAGTATTCGGCTTGAAAATTATTTAAGAATAAAATTATCGATTCAAGATACGATAGGATACTTGCATAAATACGGTAAAGTATAGGTAATCTGTTATGCTGACTAGCGAATATTTAGCGACGACCTCCTTTCGCTGCGTGAAGTGGCATTTTTCAGCGATTGACCCGCCAATAAATTATCATGATGACGCTAGTCAATGAGACGCCGAGCTAAACGTGTCGTACGTATATTATAGTCCGTCGCCTCTAATCAGTTAATCACAATACTGCGCGCGATTTAATCGCCGGTCATTGAATGCGGTTGCACGAAGGAACAAGGAAGAAAAATTTGGCACAATGTCATTATTGGCGAACGAGACTCGATTATTAAACGAATCCGTCAGAAAAGTCTGTAGAAATTGCTTCAATCTCACCATTGCCGTAATAGGTTTCCTATTTCACAGAATTCGAGGAAGTGTTACAATGAAATAGAAAATGGCACAAGTTCTTTGTGACTCAGTAATTCCGCGAGGTAAACAATGAAGGTGTGACGTGGATTCAAGTTGGATTACAGTGCAATTGTAAATATCATAGTAATCTCATTAAAATCGAATTATTAAATTAAGATAAAAAAAGTGGTATAAAATTAAAGTTCTATTTAATATGTAACTAATTTATCTAATTTTATTTAATATAAACTGAAAAACTGATATAATTAAGAAATCTCCATCAGAGGAAAAGTGAAATAATGTTAATTAATGTCGTATTTTAAACTCGACGAGATTTTAAAATATATTCATTCGCGTAATGAATATTATATTATTTATTCTAAATTATTTAATGCATAGCTTAAAAATTAATGTCTTTCTTTTTTCAGTACAAAGAGTACGATTTATAGAGAAAGAAATCGATTTAATTTAAATAATGACTTTAATTGGGGAAATCGGCTCGGTTTTCCTTCGACAGTCAAACGACATGCAGTTACATTCTCCATAACTGCAGTCGTTATAACACAGAGATTGTCTTAAACTCGGCCGTCATTAACATTCGCGACTTTCTTCACATTTATTATTACGAGGCCGACGTCTCGTTGGCCGCAATGTAAAAGGCAGTACATTTAATAACTAGAACGTCTCTCGTAGAAAGCGGGCAAAACAGGTTGACCAAGATTCTTATCTATAGAAAAATTTGTGCATTTTCCGTACGCGTAACTTTAGCCTAGTGCCGATTTAACTGCCAATTCGATACGGCACTTATTCCTTCTCCAGACTTTTTGCGCGAGTGTGTATGTCGCGCCGTAAGAAATTTCGGTCCAGAATAACTGCGTGTCGTTGGGATTTTATTACGCGTTGTACTGCAGCGCGCACCATCGTAAATGCAAAATGCGAAAAACAATTTACCTCGATGACGCATTTCCCCGCGCAATCGTCGAGGTAACTGTTTGACATTATTAGACTCGCTCTTTAGTTGCGCAAAATGTTGAAAAAAATGTAGGCGTGTGCACGAGCTAAAGGTTAAGTGGATCACGTCCACGGTTGTTGTTAGAAATAACGAGCCGCACAATTTTATATATGCAATCCGCGCGAAAATCATACATCCCGTAATCTATGCAGCTCTCGACCGAGTGCAATGTGAGATAAAATCAGTACGCGATATTATCTGACCGAAATTATCAAATTAACAAACATGATATATATGCGCTTACATCATTAATATTATTAATTAAATACTTTAGTTTTAGCCTCAAGCACGGAATTAAATTCAAAAATATTTATTCTATCATTCAATTATTATTTTCATATTGATCATTCATAGTTGCAATAAATATAGAATAACTAAAATATATATAAAGTTGTATATAGAAAATCTATTTCTTTTGTTTAAAGAACGTAACTGTTTTGTGAAACATTCGCGAAAGAGCAATAAGGCTGACGAAAGGAAGTGTGAGAATCCCTTATATCTTCGTATCTACCAGTCTGTAAGTTTTAATTATCGGAGAGCGTTTAAACGCGACGAGAGAGAAAACGTGGGAACGATTGTCAATATTTAAATTTACGAGTCTCTCGGCAGGATGTCAATCTTATTTGGCGGTAACTCCGCGACCGGAAATTAGTGAAATCGCGACTTTCCGCGAAAGGGATAAAGAACGTCGTCTAGCACGAGTTTGCTTTACAGCGTGCTAGTGCGTTCGTTTTATCGAAGTGCATAGGATCGAATCGCTTATTAGTATCATATGCCTATCGCATGTTTGAAAGTCTCCGCTAACAATAAATAGAAAATAAAGTATATGAGCGTATGAAATATTAATAGGGACATTTGATGAAATCTTGATGTTTAGATGATTAATGCCAGATAATTAGAAATTTATTTAATCTCAATTAGAGATGAAAATCTATAATAAGCATCTAATTTTTGAAAACTAAAATTATATATATGGCATCTAAAAATAGTGTAAAACGCTGAACTGCGATTGACGTTATTCGTATATCGCGATGTCGTAAATCGATAGAGAGCGATCATTATATAGCGATCATTTTATATTATATAATCGGCCTATACATATATATAACGAGACATAACTATCGCGGGTTAAAGACCACTTGCACGGCAAACCGGTCCTCTTAACCACCATGATTAACGAGTTCCCATAAAAATCGACGTGACCTGTATAGAAAAAGTATATCGTTTAAGCTAATTCAGCAAGTGCTGGAGTGTAATTTGCAAAATTAAAATTTTATTTTTTCAGCTTGAGCCGACTATTGCAAAATTTATCATGTCGCTGTAACACCCACTTACTTTATTTATCAGGATATCCGCATACTTCTATTATAATCCTAATTAAGCAGAACGTTGAAAAATCGTCCTGCCATTCCGCCGGCATTTTCGAAGTTCGTTAGACTTTAGAAGAACGGGACGTTAAAGGAAATTGCTTCCGCATTAGTTAACGACGTTACTGTGAGGCGCCGGAAATTGAAGCGATGTAGGCGGGAAAGCACCTGGACGGTAAATCCTTTCAATCAGGAGGAATTGTAATTATTCTGCTGGAAAGGTCAATATTTGCCAGGACCTCGCTGTTTCGGGCAATTAAACGCACGAACAAAAATCTATTACGTTTATTATATTCATTAGCTTTATGAATATATGCATACCTCACGCTGGAGCATAATGTAACTGTTATTGCAACGTTACAGCCGTTGTAACATGTAACAGTTAATTTCAACGTTATTGTATAATCTGACGTTCCTCACTGCCAACATTAGAAAGACATTGAAGTGAATCGTGATCGAAACGTTTCTGGTCTTCTTTTTGCCGTTAGCAGAGAGAATTATGCAAATATTGACACTTTTAAGGAAGAAATAGATGATAAACATGTGTAATAATAATTTGATTGAAATCCCTCTTTTTTTACTTCTTCGCAGGCTTAAGTTATCAACAAGTAATATGATTGTCTCTTTCGCTCCCTCGCACTCGCTTTTTTTCTTTCTTTATTTATTAGAAGCTAAAGAGATTTCACGGAGTGAGAGGAGGCGAAGTTCGAGTGAGGCGAAGGTCGAGGTCGCATTTTTATAAGCACAGTTAAGCGAGATCAATAAAAGCAGCAGACAGAGAAGGATAAACGTGGTAGATACGTGGGAGAAATGTTAAAATCAACACTTTATGTAACTTCTCGTCCCTTTTAATCGATAAATGCTTGTCGACGACCTAAATATATTAACATCTGCCGATTAATGCTTAAAATTAATATAGCATTTTGAATAATAGATTTCTTAAAAAAAAAAAATGTTTATAAAAATAGTGAGATTTATAAATGTTGTTCTTCATGATTACATTTTCGAACGAGGATTAAGAATACTACGCGCTTATTTTCGACTGTGAATATTATTGTTACATCACTTTATTATCTATAAATAACTCAATGCCCGATTATTGTCGCGCGATGGATCGTCGCTCTCGGTTTTATCGAGCTCGTCCGACAGTTTTAATCGGTCAAGTGAAACGCGCTCCAATCAACGTGGATTGTGCCGAGGCACCCACGTAAATGCAACGCGATCGTTACCACGTTACCACGTTAAATGTGTCACAGATTTGGATTGACTTTGCGAAAGCTTAATTAAAAGCTACATATCGCGAGGTAAATAGTTAAAAATTTCAACAAATTTATCTCGTTATCTCTCAAAATTGGTTTTACGAGGTCACACATAGTTTAATATAGTACAGTTTAGTCTCTAACATAGTTGTTTACAGTATACTTTTGCCTCGCGCGAGTTATCAGCGGTCTGATATATATCATATCCTAAAAAGGAAAAATCACTTTTTAAATGTTTAATATTATTTTGCGAAGGAAAGAAAATGCTTTATTCATGAATTTTCACGAATGTGCAATTTACGACTCAAAGAATTTATGTATATTGCCTGGAAAGCGGTGTTCCAGGCGTCTTTCCGCCTTGCCTTTCTTTTTATTAACCGCTACAACGTTGTAACGCGCAATTATCACAACGCAACGACACCATTGCGCTTCTGATCTCGTTATCGCGGTACCGCGCATGATATCGCGCGATCGTTCCGCATCGGACCGGCTCGGCGGTGAGCGTTTCATTCTCCGCGTTTCGTTTTCCAGGAGTAGCTCTGAGGAAACCGGGTCAAGGTAACACGCGACGTGGTCCCGTTTATCCTTGTTTTCCAAGATCGATACGCGGCGGTCCTTCGAGGAACGACGAAAGACGTCATTGCGACGAATTGGCGACGTG